AGATCTGAGTGATTGATGTCAATTCTAATGATCTATTAATGTGAGATCTGAGTGATTGATGTCAATTCTAACGATCTATTAATGCGAGATCTGAGTGGCTGATGTCAATTCTAATGATCTATTAGTGTGAGATCTGAGTGGCTGATGTCAATTCTAATGATCTATTAATGCGAGATCTGAGTGGCTGATGTCAATTCTAATGATCTATTAGTGTGAGATCTGAGTGGCTGATGTCAATTCTAATGATCTATTAATGTGACATCTGAGTGACTGATGTCAATTCTAATGATCTATTAATACGAGATCTGAGTGGCTGATGTCAATTCTAATGATCTATTAATGTGAGATCTGAGTGGCTGATGTCAATTCTAATGATCTATTAATGCGAGATCTGAGTGGCTGATGTCAATTCTAATGATCTATTAATGTGAGATCTGAGTGGCTGATGTCAATTCTAATGATCTATTAATTCGAGATCTGAGTGATTGATGTCAATTCTAATGATCTATTAATGCGAGATCTGAGTGACTGATGTCAATTCTAATGATCTATTAATTCGAGATCTGAGTGGCTGATGTCAATTCTAATGATCTATTAATTCGAGATCTGAGTGATTGATGTCAATTCTAATGATCTATTAATTCGAGATCTGAGTGACTGATGTCAATTCTAATGATCTATTAATTCGAGATCTGAGTGATTGATGTCAATTCTAATGATCTATTAATGCGAGATCTGAGTGACTGATGTCAATTCTAATGATCTATTAATTCGAGATCTGAGTGATTGATGTCAATTCTAATGATCTATTAATGCGAGATCTGAGTGACTGATGTCAACTCTAATGATCTATTAATGCGAGATCTGAGTGACTGATGTCAATTCTAATGATCTATTAATTCGAGATCTGAGTGACTGATGTCAACTCTAATGATCTATTAATGCGAGATCTGAGTGGCCGATGTCAATTCTAATGATCTATTAATGTGAGATCTGAGTGGCTGATGTCAATTCTAATGATCTATTAATGCGAGATCTGAGTGATTGATGTCAATTCTAATGATCTATTAATTCGAGATCTGAGTGATTGATGTCAATTCTAATGATCTATTAATGTGAGATCTGAGCGATTGATGTCAATTCTAATGATCTATTAATGCGAGATCTGAGTGATTGATGTCAATTCTAATGATCTATTAGTGCGAGATCTGAGTGATTGATGTCAACTCTAATGATCTATTAATGTGAGATCTGAGTGATTGATGTCAATTCTAACGATCTATTAATGTGAGATCTGAGTGATTGATGTGAATTCTAATGATCTATTAATGCGAGATCTAAGTGGCTGATGTCAATTCTAATGATCTATTAATTCGGGATCTGAGTGAATGATGTCAATTCTAATGATCTATTAATGTGAGATCTGAGTGATTGATGTGAATTCTAATGATCTATTAATGCGGGATCTGAGCGACTGTCAATTCTAATGATCTATTAATGCGAGATCTGAGTGGCTGATGTAAATTCTAATGATCTATTAATGCGGGATCTGAGCGACTGTCAATTCTAATGATCTATTAATGCGAGATCTGAGTGGCTGATGTAAATTCTAATGATCTATTAATGTGAGATCTGAGTGATTGATGTCAATTCTAACGATCTATTAATGCGAGATCTGAGTGATTGATGTACATTCTAATGATCTATTAATGTGAAATCTGAGTGATTGATGTCAATTCTAATGATCTATTAATGCGGGATCTGAGCGACTGTCAATTCTAATGATCTATTAATGCGAAATCTGAGTGGCTGATGTAAATTCTAATGATCTATTAATGTGAGATCTGAGTGATTGATGTCAATTCTAACGATCTATTAATGCGAGATCTGAGTGATTGATGTACATTCTAATGATCTATGAATGCGAGATTTAATTGATTGATGTAAATTCTAATGATGATCTAGAAGGGATAGAGATCTGAGTGACTGATGTAATTTCTAATGATCTAGACGTTTTGACTAGGAAATGTAAAACCGATTATTAATTATTATTTTATTTCGACTGGCATCACTCAGCGGCTGCTCTAAAATGACTCCCTTCTCAATTAATGTCGTAGTTTTTACTGGTAGGAACCTCCTGGGTTACACCAGCCCACGGGGATTATTGTGTCCGTCCGTCGTGCAGGGCGGGGCTGGGTGGGGTGGGAGGGGCTGGGTGGGGAGGGAAGGGGTGGGGAGGGGGTGGGGAGGGAGGGTGGGGCTGGGTGGGGAGGGGCTGGTCACCCCGTGGTGCCCTTCTAAAACTCAACGTTTAACCTACTCACGCCGGCTTGTGCCCGCCCTCACAGTCGGGCATATTTGCGGAATACACCACGCCGCCGTTGACCCTGGCCATTGACCGAGCAACCTAACGTTCCTACCAGCTCCCTCCGCAGGAATGTTTGTTATTTTCTTTGAACCTATCTACGTGACTTTACCGAATGACTCCATCATGTAATTACCTGAGAGCCACGCTCAGCCAAAGGACTCACCTCCAGAACGGCGCTGCAGCTTTGGATTTTAGTTTTTAAGATGTCAATTTATTACAAGGACCAAAAACTACGACCAACATTCGTTGGACGTCACCATCAGAATCTTTATTCGTACCCTCTTGCAGGAATCCGATGAACCACGAAGCTTTTTTTCCAGCAGAGGCATGGGGTCAGCAGGTCGGGTGGAGGAGGGCTTACAGCTCTTAGGGTCACACCGTGTGCAGAGCCCCCGCGCCGTGTGCAGAGCGCCCGCGCCGTGTGCAGAGCCGCATCATCTTTCCCCAAAGCACGAATCCCAACTATTTGCCGTGTTCGCCAAAAAGTTATCGATCGGCCCCGGCCGACGTCAATAGCTTTCGAAGATAAAAAATTTTACTTTATTTTTATTTTTAATTCGCTCAATAATTATCGACGCTCGAACAAACGTGGGCTTTTAAAATTTCGCTGGCTCGGTATGTAAGAGTATTTGTTTCCTGAATAAGCCCTCTCATAGCGGGTGGAGAGCATTTGGTCGTCACATTGGCCATGACCGGGTAATCGAACTCGGGTTGTCGAGCACGTGGCGCAGTGCGCTAACAGCTGCGCCACCGCTCACGTACATGCTTTCCCTCCAACTCCAGTTCTCGCCACCCACCATCACCACCACCACCACGCTCCGTGTTTCCGCCTTCGCCAATCGACTCCTGCCCCATTCAAATCAACTCGTTCCACGCTGCTTCACGCGCCCGATGATTGTTAAAAACGTCCCACGTGACACGCTCGTAAAATGAACGCCGCCTGCGTGAATGGCGCCGATTCAAATTAACATTGAGATCTCCAAGCGCGCGTGCGCACGCACGTGTTCCACGCGCGTGCGCACACACGTGTTCCGCGCGTGTGTGTGCACGCGTGTTCCACGCGGCCGGTGGCGCGTGCGGAGGTCCCCCGCAAATTGCTTCGGCCAGGGGACGAGCAACAGGACGCACCGAGCGATCATTTGATACCACTCCCATCCTCGGGTGATCCACCAACTCTGAGATGCCAGCTAATGAGGGTGGGGGAGCAGGAAGGGAGAGATTGGAGCGGGGGTGGGGGGGAGTCGATTGGTGGCAAAGCCGGAGCGTGGTGGCGATGCGGGGCGGGGGGTTCGCGAGGAGTGGCGTTGTGTGGCAAACCCTCATCTCAACAAAAGGACACCCCCCCCCCCCAAGTGGCAGCTGTCCTTGTGCGGCTAAAGGTGGGCATCAGTTGGCCGGTGGGGGGTGGAGAGGGGGCGGTAAGTGCTGCCGTGTGCGCGATGCCAATGGAGTCGTCTGGGGTGCAATTTCTCAGTTTGGGAAGAGGAGAAAAAATAGTTGCTGCCACGCCGGCACACAAATGGCCTCAGCGCAGCGGACGGCGCCTGCCATCGTCGCGGCGGCTATGACACCGCGCGCTATTAACCAGGGCGGCCGCTGGGTGCGAACCGCGAAGCTCTGCGCCACCGCCCCACGTACAACAGAAAGCGTCGACACGCCTGGCAGCCTTCGTCTCTCCCAACGATGACGTTTACACGCCAAGTGCCGTTAGCGAGCACCTATGAGGGCCAGCACGGCGCACGAAGGGGTGGGTGGCCAACACCACGCACGGCCGCCTTTGTCTTCCCAGTGGCGATGTTTACACACCGCACCAGGTACTCATTTCAGGCCAAATCGACCGAGGGGAAGCCCCAGGACCGGTGAGATAATGGTCACCGGTGTTGGTGGCCGCGAGCGGGAATCGAACTCGGGTCGCGGGGTTCATGAGGCGCACAAAACTCCGCCAAGGCACCGTGTGTCGGGAATCGAACCCGGGTGCCTTTTTTGCTACGGGGGAGCCGCGAGGGTTACCACCGCGCCCGCCACCGCCCTGCCAACCGCACGCGAGCCACCTCGAGTTAGCAGGCCCGCGCTGTGCCAATGCATTGTGTCGTCACGCGCTCAGGGTTTTCACGTGCGACAGGGCTGTGTCGTCACGATGCGTCGTGTCGTCACGCTCGTGCCGACTTCGACAGCGCCGCTACGTCACGCGGTTCACGCGTTGCTGCTGCGCCACGTTTTGTTGTTGTTGCTGCGCTCTTCGGCGAATTGTTTCGCCGTCAGACCGTGTGTCGTCTTCGCTACGGCGTCGCCGCGGTCACACCGTGATGCTCACTCGTCGTCGGCGTCGTCACACCGTGCGGCCTTCCCAGTCTCGTTCTCACCGCGCCCCGTGCTGTCGCTGCGCTCTGTTGTGGCGACACAGACTTGCATTGCCGCACTCGCGTCGTCACCGTTGTGTTGTCACCGTTGTGTTGTCAGCCAGAAGCCGAGTTGTCACATCGCGTTGTCGCTCGGCGCTGCGCCGTCACATCGCGAGCGCGTCTCCCACACCCCACCCCCCCATCTCGCTCGCTACCCCCCCCCCCCCCATCTCGCACGCTCCTCACTCGGCTCACACGCTCCGCGCTCTCGCCTGCACGCGTCTCTCCCTCCTCCTCCGCTTCTTTATTTCTCGCTTCCATTGTTTACATCGTGCGTGCGCGCGCGCGTCGTGAATCCTCTTAACATGGCGTGGGATCGCGCTCACCAAGAACGGCGCCAACCCCCCCAGCCCCCCCCCCCCCATCTCCCCTGACCACGGCGTGACAGAAGCGGGGCTGTGGAGCCATTTGCCCGCTCACCCAGTTGCTCGCCCGCCCGCTCGCCCACCCGCTCGCCCACCCGCCCGCGCGTCCAATTGCTCGTTTATCTGTCCGAGAGGGCTGCGGCAGTTCATCTTCAGTGCGGTTATCTCCACGGAGCCCGGCTCCGCGCTGTGTCGCGGGCGACGCCGCGGCCGGGGGACGAGCAACAGGACGCACCGAGCGATCAATTGATACCACTCCCATCCTCGGGTGATCCACCAGCTCTGGGAGCGGGGGGGGGGGAGCAGGAAGGGAGAGATTGGAGCGGCAGTGGCTGTGTGGGGGGGAGTGAGCGGTGGGCGGGTGGAAGCATGGAGGAAGACAGAAAAGGGGCATTGAGAGCATGGAGTGAGATAAGAAGGCAGTGGCGGTGATGGTGAGGAACGGAAGGGAAGTGTGAGAGAGGGGTGTGTTTGTGCGTGTGTTTGTGTGTTTGTGTGCGTGTGTGTGTGCGTGTGGCTGTGGGGAGCGGTGGAGCAGCGGTTAGCGCGTCGCGCTACGAACCCGGGGACACGAGTTCGATTCCCAGTCACGGCTAACACCGGTGACGATTATCTGAACCGGTCCTGGGCCTCCCCTAGGGTTGACTCGGCCTGAAAAGAGTACCTGGTGCGGTGTGTAAACAACATCAGCAGTGGGGAGACAAAGGCGGTCGGGCGTGGTGCTGGCCACCCACCCCCCTCGTGTGCCGTGTTGGCCTTCATAAGTGCTGCTACTCGCTAGCGACATTTGCCCCAGGATTCTGTTACGGCTATACTTTTCTTAGTGCGTGGCTGTGAATCGTGAGCGGGTTGCAGAAGCGTGACCGACTGTGCGAGCGCACGCACAGTCACGCACAGTCACGCACGGGGGACGCGTGCTGCGTCCTCGCTGCCGAACAGGCGCCCAGGCACCGTGCAGACGCTCAGGCAGCGTGCAGGCATCGTGCGGGCACCCAGGCCCCGCATGGGCGTTCATCAGGTGCCGTGCGGGTGCTCAGGCGCTGTGCATGCGTGCGCCCAGGAGGCTGTTCTCGTGCTGCATGGCGCGCAGGTCGCCCACGATGCGCTCCAGGTTGGACAGCGTCTTCTTGCTCCGCTCCAGCTCCGTCTTCAAGGCGGGAACGCGAGAACAACACGAGCGGAAACGCACGCAAGCGAATACGTGTAAATGTCTTGGGAATAAAAAGGCAAACATAAACATCCCCCTTCTTGGTTCTTTCGGTAAAGTCACGTAGAAGGGAAGTAATAAAATAATAAAAATAAAACATAATAAAACAATTCTCACGACGTTTCGGCTACAACGCAAGCAGCCGTCTTCAGGTGAAGAAACGTCGTGAGAATTGTTTTATTATGTTTTATGTTTTATTTTTATTATTTTATTACTTCCCTTCTACGTGACTTTACCGAAAGAACCAAGAAGATGAATCCCTGCAGTCACGAAAGCTTTAAATCGAAAAATAAACATCCCCCGCGCAGCCTTTAACAGACTGGTGGGGCCAAGTGCTGTTAGCGAGCAGCACCTGGGTGAGACGTCACCGTATCCCTGAGGGGTTGTGGCACTGAGCCAATCACAGCCTCCGAGCAGCAGCTGCAGCAGCGGCGCCCCCTCCTGCATGCCTGGGTGGGGTGCGTGCGTGTTTGCGCGCAAGCGGCGTGCGTGTGCCGAGCAGGGAGAGGGCGTGCAGTGTGTGCGAGCGGTGTGAGCGAGTGAGTTGTGTGTGTGTGAGCTGTGTGTGTGTGAGCGGTGTGTGTGTGTGTGAGCTGTGTGTGTGTGAGCTGTGTGTGTGTGTGAGCGAGTGAGCTGTGTGTGTGAGTGAGCTGTGTGTGTGTGAGTGAGCTGTGTGTGTGTGAGTGAGCTGTGTGTGTGTGTGTGAGTGAGCTGTGTGTGTGCGAGCGGTGTGAGCGAGTGGGCTGTGTGTGTGTGAGCTGTGTGTGTGTGTGTGAGAGTAAGCTGTGCGTGAGTGAGCTGTGTGTGTGTGTGTGAGCTGTGTGTGTGTGTGTGAGTGAGTGAGCTGTGTGTGCGAGTGAGTGAGCTGTGTGTGTGTGTGAGCTGTGTGTGTGCTATGAGCTGTGTGTGTGTGTGAGTGAGCTGTGTGTGTGTGAGCTGTGTGTGTGTGTGAGTGAGCTGTGTGTGTGTGAGTGAGCTGTGTGTGTGTGTGCTATGAGCTGTGTGTGTGTGTGTGAGTGAGTGAGCTGTGTGTGCGAGTGAGTGAGCTGTGTGTGTGTGCTATGAGCTGTGTGTGTGTGAGCTGTGTGTGTGTGTGAGTGAGCTGTGTGTGTGCTATGAGCTGTGTGTGTGTGTGCTATGAGCTGTGTGTGTGTGAGCTGTGTGTGTGTGTGTGTGAGTGAGCTGTGTGTGTGTGTGTGAGCTGTGTGTGTGTGAGTGTGTGTGTGAGTGAGCTGTGTGTGCGAGTGAGTGAGCTGTGTGTGTGTGTGAGCTGTGTGTGTGCTATGAGCTGTGTGTGTGTGTGAGTGAGCTGTGTGTGTGCTATGAGCTGTGTGTGTGTGTGCTATGAGCTGTGTGTGTGTGAGTGCTATCAGCTGTGTGTGTGTGTGTGAGTGCTATGAGCTGTGTGTGTGTGAGCTGTGTGTGTGTGTGTGAGCTGTGTGTGTGAGTGCTATGAGCTGTGTGTGTGTGTGTGAGTGCTATGAGCTGTGTGTGTGTGAGCGGTGTGTGTGTGTGTGAGCTGTGTGTGTGTGAGCTGTGTGTGTGTGTGTGTGAGTGCTATGAGCTGTGTGTGTGTGTGCTATGAGCTGTGTGTGTGTGAGTGTGTGTGTGAGTGAGCTGTGTGTGTGTGTGAGTGAGCTGTGTGTGTGTGTGAGTGAGCTGTGTGCGTGTGAGTGAGCTGTGTGTGTGTGAGTGAGTGTGTGTGTGTGAGTGAGCTGTGTGTGTGTGAGTGAGCTGTGTGTGTATGTGTGTGAGTGTGAGAGAGCGAGTAAGCGGTGTGTGTGTGAGTGAGCTGTGTGTGTGAGTGCTATGAGCTGTGTGTGTGTGAGTGAGCTGTGTGTGTGTGCGAGTGAGCTGTGTGTGTATGTGTGAATGAGTGAGCTGTGTGTGAGTAAGTGGTGAGTGAGCTGTATGTGTGAGTGAGCTGTGTGTGTGAGTGCTATGAGCTGTGTGTGTGTGTGCTATGAGCTGTGTGTGTGTGTGAGTGAGCTGTGTGCGTGTGAGTGCTATGAGCTGTGTGTGTGTGAGTGAGTGTGTGTGTGTGAGTGAGCTGTGTGTGTGTGTGTGAGTGAGCTGTGTGTGTGTGTGAGTGCTATGAGCTGTGTGCGTGTGAGTGCTATGAGCTGTGTGTGTGTGAGTGAGTGTGTGTGTGTGAGTGAGCTGTGTGTGTGTGAGTGAGCTGTGTGTGTATGTGTGTGAGTGTGAGAGAGCGAGTAAGCGGTGTGTGTGTGAGTGAGCTGTGTGTGTGAGTGCTATGAGCTGTGTGTGTGTGAGTGAGCTGTGTGTGTGTGCGAGTGAGCTGTGTGTGTATGTGTGAATGAGTGAGCTGTGTGTGAGTAAGTGGTGAGTGAGCTGTATGTGTGAGTGAGCTGTGTGTGTGTGAGTGTGTGTGTGAGCGAGCGAGTAAGCGGTGTGTGTGTGAGCGGTGTGAGTGACATGGACGCACGCCCCCCCGTGCACGTGTGCAGCCATCACCTGCTCCTCCAGGTCGCGAATCTCCCGCATCACCGCGCCCGTATCCTCGATCGTGTGGATCAGCTGAGCGCAATTCTTCTCACCCACAGCGGAAGCGGGGAGATGGGAGAGACACCACACACACACGGACACACACATGGAAACACGTACATAAGGACACATGGACACACACACGGACACACGTACATAAGGATACACGGACACACACAGACGTACACAATCACACACACAAGATAAAGATCCCCTGTATAGCCTTAACAGACTGTAGGAGCAAGTGCTGTTAGCGAGCACCTATGAAGGCCGGCACGGCACACGAGGAGATGGGTGGCCAACACCGCGCCCGGCCGCCTTTGTCTCCCCAGTGGCGATATTTACATACTGCACCAGGTACTCATTTGAGGCTGAATCGACCTAGGGGAGGGGCCCAGGACCGGTTCAGATAATCGTCACCAGTGTTGGCCGTGAGCAGGAATCGAACCCGGGTCGCCAGGTTTGTGGCACACGGTGAGTGACCTTGCTGAGCTCCAAGTGGCGTGCGCCGGTTTAGTCTAAATTAACCAGGGGACAAACGCCCTTCAACCACGATGAATCAATGCATCTTTACATCCAGTGGGGCGTAGCGCTGGAGTGTGCAGGTGGTGCGACTGCACCACCTGGTTTCACGAGCCGGAGAGGTCCAGGCGCCGTGGAAATTTAACTTAACTGTAAAAAAAAAAACAGTTTTTTTATTTTACCAGGCAAGGCCCACTGCGCTAGATTGTTTAGCTCTTTTTTTTAGAAGCGACCTGACCATCACAAATGATAGCTCAGCGAAGTGGCTTGTCATCACGGCGGAAATGTTTTGCAGCCGATTCTAAACGTGGAGGGGAAAACAGGAAGGAGCCGAAGAAAAATCCAGGCAACCACGGGCAGGACACGCAAACTCCAAACATACAACAGGTGGCAGGCTCCGGATCGAACCCACGACCTCCTGCATACCAGGCGAGGAAGTTAACATCTCGTGGCCATGGCACTTTTCATCACCGCGTCAGTTTCTACCGCGTCAAGCGAGGCGTTGCTGCGTCGAGCGTCGAGCGGGGCGAGCGCGGCCTCACCTCGTGAAGCGCCGCCAGGTGCTTGTAGGCCTTCCGTGCAGTCTCGTCCTTCTTGGCGTCCTGTATGGGAAGCAAGTCGCACGCGCGCACAGCCGGGCGGCGGTGAGGCCGACGATGGTGGCGGCGGCGTAGCGGCTGCGAGCGGTAACGCCGAGGCGTTGAGTCTATGGATTCCGTGTGAGTCTATGGGCCGCGTGTGAGTCTATGAGTTCCGTGTGAGTCTTTGGGGCCCGTGTGAGTCTGAGTTCCGTGTGAGTCTATGGGCCCCTTGTGAGTCTATGGGCCCCGTGTGAGTCTATGGATTCCGTGTGAGAGTATGAGTTCCATGTGAGTGTACATGCCCGGCTGCCTTGACTTCCCTGATGTTCACACACCACACCAGGTACAAATTAAACTCGGGCCGCCGGGTTCGCAGTGCAGTGCACCACCATTTCCGACACTTACACACACACACGGACACACACACGGACACACACACACACATGGACACACACACACGCGTCCCCCCACCCCCCATGACAAACCTTAAACAGCAGCTCATCGGTAACGCTAAATGTGCGCTCCAGTTTTCCAGCCAGCCCATTGATGTCCTTCTGCACCTCACGGGTATCAGCCAGCACCTTGGCACGACAAAGACAAAGACCCCCCGTACAGCCTTCAACGTCCATCGCCCGTCAGCCCTTCGAGCCACGATAAAATGGCCCTCCCGAGTTTGTAGTTCAAGCTGATTTGTTTCAACCAGAGTGAGAACTCAAAGAGACCAGGGTGACCTGGGCCACGGGTCACGCAGCAGGCGGCGATAATTGGCGTACGGTGGTGGTGAGGGGGGGGCGGGCAAGCGAGGGTTCGTGGATCACAGAAACGTTGTGAAACTTCTCCATTCCGCGGGCGTCGAGGAAGTGCCTGCCCCCACCTGGATGGGGCAGCGTTGCCCCCTCGTTTTCTCCGGGTGCTCCGGCTCCCTCCCCGCATGTGACAAGCGCACTCGTTAATTAGCCGAGAACATCTTAGTAGACGTGGGGCTGCGGAACTGTCGGTGCCCGGTTCACCACGTGGCTGCGGCTGCTGCTGCCTTCCCTCCTCGTCCTCCTCCCGCGGTGTTGCGCTCAAATTTGGCAAATTATTTGCGTCGCGACGCCAGCACGCAAGTGGCCTATTCTCACGAACGATGGCGCCGAGGCCGGGGATTGAACCCGGGCCCTTCTCGCTGCGAGGCATTGGCCACAGCGGCGTAATTGTGAAGCGTCGATCTCGCGGCCGTGCCGCCTCAACCCCGGGTGAACACCAAAGTAACCGCGGCCACGGTTTTCGCCGCAACATCTGCTCCCCACTAAAGTGTAACCGCGCGCACGCGGCAAAACCATCCGGACCCGGGAACCCCCCGCTGGTGGCAAACTGCAGATGGGAGACTCCTCCTTTCAAGTGCCGACCACTCGAATTTCCTCCTCCCTCTTCCTCCAAAATAACTTAATGGGGTCTCGTGGGGGTCGATCCAACGGTTGTCCCAGGCTGACCCCAGAACGCCTCGGTCTGCGCGCAAACCTTTTGCCACCGAGTGCGAAATCTTTTACGGGTCTGTAATGTCTGCACGTATGCAATGCTCGTCTATGAGCAATGTTAGTCTATGGGCAATGTTAGTCTGTGGGTAAAGTTAGTATTTGAGCAATGCAAGTCGATGGGTAATATTAGTCTACAGGCAAAGTAAACAAAACATCTATTCTACAGAAATGAGTTATCAATATAGATGATGATTTAAACGTTCAAAGCTCTCGTGGCTCTCTACGCGAGTCTATGGGTCTCCGTGAGTCGGGGTCGTAGTGCAGCGCGCCCACCGCCACGCACGTACACGGTCACGTGGCTCATCATCGTGTGGGAATTTACAGCAGCCAAATGGCTCTGAACGCGCGATGTCGATTCTGAACGTGGAGAACCCGGAGAAAAATCCACACAACCACGGGGAGAACACGCAAACTCCAAACACACAGCCGGCTTCGGTGTCGGGATTGAAACTCGCAACCTCCTGTATACCAGGTGAGGTAGTTAACATCTCGCCACGGGTAGAGCCGCGAACCACCCCCACCCACAAGACGCGCACGAGACGCCAAGAGTGACGGGGGTGACGGGAGGAAGAGAGGACTCCGAGGCCGTGGGGGAGAGAGGAGGAGGCGTGTCGGAGGGGTCCACCTTGCCGATCTCCTCTTTCTGCCGCTTGATGTTGGCCACGATCTCCAGGATGCGCTGGGTGTAGGCCGCTCGCGCGACGTCCTTCGGCATCGACTCGTAGTCGGAGGCCTGCACGAGGTTCCGCACTTCCCGATTAGCACGGCTGGCCACGTGGAGACGCGAAAGAAGTTCAGCATCGATCCCTCCCCCCCGCCCCTCCCGTTGTGCGCCTTTTGGCGTCATCTGGTCCAACACCAATGGAGACTAGGCTCTAAGGAAAGCTGTCTCGGGTGTGGACCAATCAACTTCAAGGACAGTGCATATCATTACCATTATCAGAGTTGTTTCTTTTTGTTTGCATTTTGACTGCTTGTATTGCGGTTATTGCAAACATGATGCCTTGTATAAAGGTGTCAGTTTTGTACCAGTTTAAAGGGTAAAAACCTACTACCTGAACAGACTGTCGGGGCAAGTGCCGGGCACGGCGCACAAAGGAGGTGGGTGGCCAGCACCACGTGCGGCCGCATTTGTCTTCCCGGTGGCGATGTTTACACATCTCGCCAGGTACTCGTTTGAGGATGAGTCGACCTAGGAGAGGCCCGGAACCAGTACAGATTGATCGTCACCGGTGTTGGCCGTGAGCGGGAATCGAACTCGGGTCGACAGGTTTGTAGAGCGGCGCGCTAACCGCTACACCACTGCACCCATCCACAGATCCACAGAGACCCACAGCCTCGCATAGAGACAAATGTGTGTGCGTACGCACACGAGTACGTGATGTCAGTACGCACGCACGTGTGCACGTACCAGCTGGCGGTGGAGGTCTTCCTTGTTGCGCACCTCCTCGGCCGTGCTCTTCATCTTCACCCTCATCTCGCGGATCTGGGCCACGCGCCGAGACGATGCCTCCTGCAGGAAGATGCGCACGCACACACACGGTCGCACGGTCACATGGTCACACAGACACGCGGTCATACGGATATAAGGTCACACGGACACACGGACACACTGACACACGGTCACACTGTCACACGAACACACAGTCACGCAGCAACACAGACACACAGTTGCACGCGCACGCAGAGATACAAGAGACAAAGATCCACTGTGTAGCCTTTAGCAGGCTGTTGGGGCAAGTGCTGTTCGCGAGGCTGAAACGTCCCGCAATGGGGTGGTAAGGCAAGCACCACGTCCGGCCACCTTGGACTCCAGACTGCTGATGTTTACACACCGTAAAAGGTACTCATTTAAGGCCGAGTCGACCTAGGTGAGGCCCAGGACCGGTTCATATATATTCGCCGCTATTATTGGTCGTGAACGGGAATCGACCTCGGGTCACCGGGTTCGTAGCGTAGCACGCTAACCACTGTGCCACCGCTCCACTCACACCCACAACAACAACAACGCCCGGCGGCACTGCCCACTGAGCGACGGCGCTGTTAAGCGCAGCGCTTGTGCCAGGCTAGGTACACGCTCACGGACTCACCTGGCAGGACAGTCCCAGCTCCTTGAGCTCTCGGAGCTGCTGCACGAGCGGAGAGCGGTGAGACTCCCACTGAGCGGTGAGGGCGAGCACTCTCTTCGCACTGCTCTCCACCACCGCCTACACCACACGCATACAAAAAGACAAAGATCCCCCCCGTACGGCTTGAACAGACTGTCAGGGCAAGTGCGAGGCACACGAAGGGGGGTGGGGAGGCCAGCACCACGCGCAGAGATACACACGCGCACACTTAAGACACGCACAGAGATGCACGCGCAGAAAGAGAAACACGCGTACTTACACAAACACACAGGCGCACACATACACTCAATACAGATAGTCGGCTCCATCACTTGACCCTTGATTGGTTGAGGTGAGAAAGCAGAGGTCAGGGGGTCGGGGGGGCGGGCGGGTGTGGGGGGTGGTAGGGGGTGGTGGGGGGGGGGGGTCAGGGAGTCACCTGCAACTTGGCAGCATTGTTGTGGGCGTCGGGCAGGAGGTCAAGGGTCGCCTTGCGCACGCGGAAAGATTCTCGGTGCTCGGCCAGGGCCTGCTGACTCGCCCCTAGCTCCTCCTCCACCTGACGGACACGGGGAGATGTTAACTCCCCCACTCTGATAATATATGCACTAATGCATATATTATCAGAGTTATGTTGAGTTATGTTTTTGTGTTTGCATTATGGCTGATAGAAGGGTAAAAAAACAATTATCAGATCTCCGTTCTGCGAGTCTTCCAGCACGTGGAGCCGGGCAGGATGCTGTTGGTCCCGGGTCCGGAGTTAATAGTTACTCGGTAACCAGTGTAGTTAGCCAGGGAGCTCACCGCCCTAGGTTGTTGTCGTGTTAAAGGGGAAGTAGTCTCCCCGTTGTGCTGGAACTAAATAAATGCGCTGCCTCCAAGTCTAAGAGTGCAACTCGGTTGAACCCACTACATGTGCGTGCGTGCACATGTGTGCGTGTGTGCTGTGTACGCGTGTGTACATTTGTGTGTGCATGTACATTTGTGTGTCCATGTGTGTGTGTATATATGCGTGTGTACGTGTGTGCGTGCGTGTACGTGTGTGTGCGTGTACGTGTGCGTGCGTGTACGTGTGTGTCCATGTGTGTGCGTGCATGTACATGTACATGTGTGCGTGTGTGCGTGCGTGTGCGTGTGTGCGTACGTGTGTGCGTGTACGTGTGTGCGTGTACGTGTGCTTGTGTGCGTGTACGTGTGCGTGTGTGCGTGTACGTGTGCGTGTGTGTACGTGTGTACGTGTGTGCGTGTGTGTGTGTGCGTGTACGTGTGTACGTGTGTATACGTGTGTGTGTGTGTGTGCGTGTACGTGTGTGCGTGTGTGTGTGTGTGCGTGCGTGTACGTGTGTGTATGTACGTGTGTGTGTGTGTGTACGTGTGTATGCGTGTCTGTGTGTGTGCGTGCCCTTGCCTGCATGAATCCCCCTCGCAGCCGCCGAGCGTCCAGCTCCAGGGCCTCCACCTGTGCCGCCGTGCGCTGCAGCCGCTCCTGCAGCTCCTCCGCCTCCCTCGCTCGCCGGGCCTGCACATCCTGCACGGGCAAACGGGGCGGTGGAGGTGGCGATGATGGCGGCGATGACAACGGTGGCGGTGATGATAACAGCGGCGGTGGTGGTGGCGATCATGTGGACAGTGATGACGATGGTGGTGGTGGTGAAGATGACTGTGGTGGTGATGGCGATGGTGACGGCGGTGGTGGAGGTGATAGTGATGGCAATGCTGATGACGGTCGTGGTAGTCATGGTGATGGTAATGATGGTAATGATGACCACGGCAATGACAGTGGTGATGATGGTGTGTGGTCGGCAGTGGGCTCGATCGTAGTGGTGATAAAGTCGGTAGCGATGACGACGACGACGGTGATTAAGGTCGTCGTGCCGATGATGGCGTTGGTGCTGATGATGATGGCGATGAAGGTAGCGGAAATGGCGATGATGACAACGGTGACGATGATGACGATGGTGGTGGCGCCAACGGCGGAGGTAGCAATGGTAGCGCAAATTTGATGACAACGGTGGCGGCGGACGGCAAAGACAAAAACAAAGACGGCCGTGGCGACGGTGCCGCTGGCGGTGAAGACGGTGCCGCCGCCGCACCTGCTCGGTGTCCTCGCTGACGGCGCGGCGATCGCCGGGAGAAGCCAACAGCTCCGGCTTGTCCTGCTCCTGCAGCAGCCAAGACGGGAACAGGTGTCAAACCACGGGCGCCAGCTAAAGCCCCGCGCGTGGAGTGCGTGCGCGCGTATGGGTACACACGCACACCGCACGCAGGCGTGTGCAACATCGCCGCTCGCGGTGCGGCTGGATCCGCCGGCCGCCCCGGTTATTACTGCGGTTGTAGCCGCGAGAATGCCGCGCGCCACTGAGAGGTGGCCGTTAAAGATCCCGCGACGTCGTTCGGACAGGAGTTCGTCCTTGTCTACCGGCTTAACGGTCCAAAATTTGCCAAATTGAAAAGAATGCCACCGCATACTGCTCTGTTGGAATCCCGACTGTGAAAACTTGGCAATACCCTCTTGGCAATGAGACTTGCCGAGGTTTTCCTGGGTAAACAATACTAATGCTAAAGAGACACCCGCGAACATGCACTCACTCGTGCACGCACAAAAAGACAGGGATGCCCCATATAGCCTCTAACAGATTGTCGGTGCAAGTGCCGTTAGAGCGGCGCACAAGGCGGTGGGTGACCGGCACAACTCCCCACCGCCTTTGTCTCTCAAATTCTCATGTTGACACCCCGCACCGGGTACTCGTTTAAGGCTGAGTCGACCTAGTGGAGGCCAAGGACCGGTTCAGATATGCGTCACCGATGTTGCCCGTTAGCAACAACAAACCGCCATTTGCCACAAAGTGGCAGTGACGTCACCACAACGCTTGTGCCAGGCCATGTGCACCTTGAGGCTACCACGTGAAGTGTCGAACGCCCGCTGGCAGGAGGTCACGGCGCAGACCCAGGTGCCACGGGTCGACTGACCGAGATGACCGAGATGACTGGCTGATGCACCACCTGTGCCCCCTACTGTGCCAACTTGTTGTGCTTTACCCCACCCGGCGCTCCGCTCGTTGTTGTGAGCATCGCTCCTCCGCCCTCTGTTGGTGTTGGAGGGCGACTGCCTCCAACTGCCCAGTAGCGTCCTTCACGAGCCTACTGCACTGAGGCTGATCTTGACACCGCTGGTACCAGTCATCGGCAAGTCCACTCAGTTCCACGTCCTCCTGTACCACATCACTCCATCTCTTCTCTAGCCCGTGCCGTGCCCGTTTAGCCCCCTCTATCCGGCCGAACAAAAGCTGTTTAGGCATGCGGTGGCTGGGCATGCGGGCTACATTACCCAGCCAATGCAGCCTTGCCTGCCGGAGGAGCACACCGATGGGACTTTGCCCAGATCTTTCAAGGATTTGTAAGCTCCTCACACAATCCAGCCTGGTTAAACCCAGGATGGATCGTAGGCAGGCCAGCCTAAATGTTTCTAACCGACGAAGATGCTCCATTAGGGGGGTCCACGTTTCGCAAGCGTAGAGAAGGGAGGGAATGACCGTGGCCGAGAAGACGTGAAGCTTCGTGCGGAGCGACAGACCAGGGAGCTTCCACGCAGTGTTACGCAACCGATGAAAAGATATGGCCGCTCGACTGATTCGGAGTGAGACCTCTGCTGTTAAACCGGAGTCGGTCATGAACACACTGCCCAGGTATGGGAAACTCTCCACTCTCTCCACAACTGCCCCATCACCGATTGAGAGTTGTGGGGGTGGAGTGTCCGATGGTACAAAATACCCAGGCAGGTGCTTAGTTTTGGTGGGGCTGATGCCCATTAGCGCACGCACACAACAACAACAACCAACAACAACCGCCATTCGCCACTAAGTGGCGGTGACGTCACCACGATGCTTGTGCCAGGCCAAGTGCACCTTGAGGCCACGTGAAGTGTCGAACGCCCGCTGGCAGGAGGTCACGGGGCAGACCCAGGTGCCACGGGTCGACTGACCGAGATGACCGAGATGACTGGCTGATGCACCACCTGTGCCCCCTACTGTACCAACTTGCTGTGCTTTAGCCACCCGGCGCTCCGCTCGTTGTTGTGAGCGTCGCTCCTCCGCCCTCCGTTGTTGTTGGAGGGCGACTGCTTCCAACTGCCCAGTAGCGTCCTTCACGAGCCTCCTCCACTGAGGCCGATCTTGACACCGCTGGTACCAGTCATCGGCAAGTCCACTCAGCTCCACGTCCTCCTGTACCACATCACTCCATCTCTTCTCCAGCCCGTGCCGCGCCCGTCTAGCCCCCTCGATCCGGCCGAACAAAAGCTGTTTAGGCATGCGGTGGCTGGGTATGCGGGCTACATGACCCAGCCAACGCAGCCTTGCCTGCCGGAGGAGCTCACTGATGGGACTTTGCCCAGATCTTTCAAGGATTTGTGAGCTCCTCACACAATCCAGCCTGGTTAAACCCAGGATGGATCGTAGGCAGGCCAGCCTAAATGTTTCCAACCGGCGAAGATGCTCCACTAGGGGGGTCCACGTTTCGCAAGCGTAGAGAAGGGAGGGAATGACCGTGGCCGAGAAGACCTGAAGCTTCGTGCGGAGCGACAGACCAGGTAGCTTCCACACAGCGATACGCAACCGATGAAAAGATATTGCCGCTCGACTGATTCGGAGTGAGACCTCTGCTGATAAACTGGAGCCGGTCATAAGCACACTGCCCAGGTATGGGAAACTCTCCACTCTCTCCACAACTGCCCCATCACCAATTGGGAGTTGTGGGGGTGGAGTGTCCGATGGTACAAAATACCCAGGCAGGTGCTTAGTTTTGGTGGGGCTGATGGTAAGGCCCCACCTCTTAGTGGCACGCTCCAGTCTCAGCAGCAGCGTCTCCAACTCCTCTTCTGAATGAGCAGCTATTACCAAATCATCGGCATACATAACGTGGTTGACCAATAGGGAGCCATCCCTTGATCGCACCCGGGCATCGATCAGCCTCCCATTATATCTGTACCAAATGGAAATTCCCCCGGTACAGCTATTGAAGGCTTCACGAACTACGCGGTCAAAATAGATGTTAAATAATGTGGGAGCCAGAGGACATCCCTGTCGCACCCCAAGGTGTACAGGGAAAGGCTCCGACTCCCGGCCACGTAGTTTTACCCGGGCCCGCTCACCATCATGAAGGTCCTTAATGATCGTGAGCAGAGGGTCAGGGACTCCGAAAGCACGAAGAACAACCCAGAGCCCAGTCCTACTGATGGTATCATAGGCCTTGACCAGGTCAATAAAGCAGAGATGTAGGTCTTTTTGGAATTCCCTACACCTCTGCTGTAGCAGACGGACAGAAAATATGGCATCTGTGCAGGACCGCCCTTTCCTGAAACCGCATTGGGGCTCCGCAAGCCTCTCCTCAGCGTGCCTAGCAAGGCGATGTTGAATAATCCTTGCCAGGACCTTACCCGGCACACTGAGGAGTGAGATGCCCCTGTAATTGTTACAGTCGGTACGGTCCCCCTTCTTAAAGAGGGGGACCACCAGGGCATCCTTCCAGTCCTGCGGAACCCGTCCAGTGGTCCAGACTGTTGTTATGATGTCATATAGGGCAGTCTGTGCACAAACGCCACCCTCCCTCAGCATTTCGCTTGGGAGATCATCTCTGCCCGGTGCCTTCCCTGGTCTCAGACTCCGGATCGCCCTCAGTACTTCCTCAACAGCTGGCACCTCAGCCAGCCACTCACAGGGGGTGACCTCTTCCAATATTTGAGGCACCGCAGCCTCAGCAGGGTTATCACCACTTTGTGCCATGATGTTTTCCTGGCTGAGAGAATTTCCCTCCCCCAGGACCTCACAGAAATGCTCAGCAAATCTGCAAACCTGTTCCTGGGGGTCGGAGATTGGATCACCGTTTTTTCCTCTAATGATGGTAATAGGTGTGGCGCTGCAGGTTACTTTTTTGATGGAGTTAAATAGTGATTTGTGATCACGGGCCACTGAGGCAGACTCCATCTCCTCAGCAACCCGCGACCACCACCCATCCTTACAGCGCCTTACGGCTCTCCGAACTTCTGAGCGAAGGCTGCGGTAAACCTCCTCATTCTCTGACGTGGGATGCTGTAGGCGATGAGAGTGGGCCTGTCGCTTTTTCTCGATTAACCTGAACACCTCCTCTGTCAGCCAGGGTTTCTGGGGAGGTCTGGACCGCGTACCCAAAGCAGCCATTGCAGCTGCATGAGTCACAGTCTTAAACCTCGCCCATTTACCCTCGACATCAGGTGGAGTGGGGGACGATGCCAACCCCAGCTGCAAGCGATGATGAAATTCTCGCTTGCAACTTTCATCAGCTAACTGAGACCAGGCCACTTTTGGTTGGAATGGGATCCTGGGTGTACACCCACCACCGGAGTGGAAGAAAGGCAGGCGCATCTTACAGATGACTAGTCGATGGTCAGAGGGCAGATCAGCTCCACGGTAGGTCCTGGTGTCAAGGACATGGGCTCGCATTCGCTGGTCCGTCACTATGTAGTCCAGCAGATGCTCTTGCTTGGACCCGGCATGTATCCATGATGCACGCACACACACACACAAACACCTGCACACACCGACACACATTCGTACGCGCACGCACGAACCTGCGTGAAGATGAGCTTCTCTGTGTGCACGAAGCGGGACCCCTTGACCGCTGCCGTCCCCGCAGGGGCGCCCCCTCCCCCCGGCAGGACCCCCGCCGTGACCCCCAGCGCCGAGACGGGGTCGGCGAGCCCTCGTGTCACGGCCTGCCGGAACTGCTCGCGCACCTTCTTGTGCAGGCGCTCGCGCTTGCGCAGACGGTACTCCTGCTTGCACGCACACACGCACAAACTCACGCACGCACACATGCACACACTCACGCACACGCACAAACGCACACACACACGCAAACACTCGCGCACACACACAAACGCACACACTCACGCACACACGCACAAACGCACACACTCATGCACACACACAAACGCACACACTCATGCACACACGCACAAACGCACACACTCATGCACACGCACAAACGCACGCAGCCACACACACACGCGTACGCTCGGGTCAGCGAGTGTGCGGAGAGAGACAGTCATGTGGAAACACGAGGTATGTTCCCTTCACATAGAAACAAACACGCTCACTTAAGTCAAACTCACTCACCCACCCTTCTCCCTCACTCACTTGCTCACCTCCGGGGTGAGTCGGGACACGAGCCCCTGGTTGTTTCACTCGGTGTCCCACCCACTCACCCACCCACCCACCCACTCACCCACCTACCCACCCACCCACTCACTCGCTCACCTCCGGGGTGAGTCAGGACGCGAGCCCATGGTTGTTCCACTCGGCGTCCCACTCACCCACCCGCTCACCCACCCACTCACCCACTGGTTCACTCGCTCGGTCACTCACCCACTTACCCATTCGCTCACCCACTCGCTCACCCCCCCGCTCACCTCCGGGGTGAGTCGGGACGCGAGCCCCTGGTTGTTCCACTCGGCGTCCCACTCACCCACCCACTCACCCACTGGTTCACTCGCTCGGTCACTCACCCACTTACCCATTCGCACACCCACTCGCTCACCCCCCCGCTCACCTCCGGGGTGAGTCGGGACGCGAGCCCCTGGTTGTTCCACTCGGCGTCCCACTCACCCACCCGCTCACCCACTGGTTCACTCGCTCGGTCACTCACCCACTTACCCATTCGCTCACCTACTCGCTCACCCCCCCGCTCACCTCCGGGGTGAGTCGGGACGCGAGCCCCTGGTTGTTCCACTCGGCGTCCCACTCACCCCACCCACTCACCCACTGGTTCACTCGCTCGGTCACTCACCCACTTACCCATTCGCACACCCACTCGCTCACCCCCCCGCTCACCTCCGGGGTGAGTCGGGACGCGAGCCCCTGGTTGTTCCACTCGGCGTCCCACTCACCCACCCACTCACCCACTGGTTCACTCGCTCGGTCACTCACCCACTTACCCATTCGCACACCCACTCGCTCACCCCCCCGCTCACCTCCGGGGTGAGTCGGGACGCGAGCCCCTGGTTGTTCCACTCGGCGTCCCACTCCTGAGCGGCGCTCACGCCGGCCGCGTTGTTCTCGAGCACGGCTGCGGCCACGCGCGCGGGGCTCGGACACTGCCCGGACACCGGGGGCAGCACCTCGCTCCAGTACGCCTGCACGCCTGCGGTAGACACACACAAAGACAAAGATCCCCCGTATCGTCTTAACAGACTGTGCTGTTAGCAAACACCTGGTGTGGTCAGAGCCACGTTCGACCACCTTAGTCTCCCTACTGGCAATATTTACTCATTTGAGTCGACCTATGGGAGGCCCAGGAGCGGTTCAAATAATCGTCACTGGCGATGGCCGTGAGCGGGATCGAACCCAAGTTGCCGGGTTCGTAGCGCAGCGCGCTAACCGCGACACCACAAACACACACACATGTGCAGGAACTCAAAAAACACACTGAATACTTTCCCATCACAAGCCGCTCAGCGCACAGCTACGAACTCGCACACACACGCACGTGCACCCTACAACAGGGTCTCATCACGTGGCTAATGAGGCGTCGCCTTTAACGACTTCTCCAAGCCTCCAAAAACCCCTCCCCCACACCCCAAATCCCCCCCACGGCACTAACCCAAGTCTGCGGGCACCACCGCCCACCATCGCCACCACCGCCACAGCCTCGCCTGGGTGACGCCGATAATTGGCTGACGAAACGCTAACAGAAGCGTCCCGATGGTGGGGGGGGGGGTGCTCTCCGCGCCATCGCCCCCGCTAATAGCGCAGCTCGTTAGTCCGCTCCGCCGTGGGTGGAAATCGCCTTCCCATTCTCTCCGCTGGGACGCGCGGGCGCGAGGCTGCGCAGTTTAACTTAGCGGAAATCCGCGGAAGCCCTCGCACGGAAATCCGCGGGTGGCGGAAAGAAAGCGGGGAACCTAGGCGGGCCCGGGGGGCAGGAGGCGGGGGGCGCGTTGCGGCCGCCACTTCATTTCGCGCGGTGTCCAGCAGAGGGCGGTGCAGAAGACAATCCACTGTTGTCCTGTACTCATTGCTGTGTGCCCCCACGTCTACGCCTGTAGGTGGACACCTGAAGGTGGATTTCAGCAGGTGGACACCTCTAGATGGACTCCAGCAGGCGGACACTTAAAACTAAACTATGTTTTATTTTACCAGCTAAGACCCCACTAAGCGATGTAGCTCTTTTTCAGAAGCGACCTGCCCACCAATCATAGCTCGACGAGGTGGCTTACCGTGCCGAAATTGATAACAGCCACGGTTGGCTACGTACGGCGCGAAAGAATTTCAACACACATACATGTTTCTAAATGTGGAGGGGAAAAATCGGAAGACTCGGAAAAAAATCCACGCGGCCACAGGGAGAGAGAGACACGCAAACGAAAAATCTACAGCAGCAGGCATCAGGGTCAGGATCGAACCCACGACCTCCTGCACAGCAGGCGAGGTAGTTAACATCTCCTAGCCACTGCACCACTTGCAGGCAGACACTGGTAGGCAGACACTTGCAGGCAGACACTGGTAGGCAGACACTTGCAGGCAGACACTGGTAGGCAGACACTGGTAGGCAGACACCCGTAGGGCGGCACCTGCTGGTGGACACACACTTGTAGAAGGACAGTTGAAGGCCTACACCTGGAGGTGGACAGCTGTAGGTGGACACCAGTAGAGGGACACCAGGAGGTGGACACCAGTAGGTAGACACCAGGAGGTAGATACCAGGAGGTGGACACCAGCCTCACCTTTTGGGATGCGCAAGGTCTTGTCGGTGACGTCGGCGGGGACGGAGAGCGGGACGGAGCGGAATGGCACGGGCCTGCTGGGGTCCTGCGGACACTCAACCACACACACACGGACAAAGATTCCCCGTATAGCCCTCACGGACCTTCACATCCATCGCCTGTCAACCCTTCCGGCCACGATCAAACGGCGCTCCCGAGTTTTAAGTTGAAGCTGATTTTCGTTCAACCAGAGTGAGAACTCAACGAGACCAGGGTGAGTCTCATTTGCCCGCCCAAGAGTGACCTGGGCCACGAGGCAGGCAGGAGGCGACGATAATTGCCGTACGGTGGTGCAACGCCTGCAATCCAGCGCTGTGGAAGAGTGGGTGGATCACAGAAAGTTGCGAAACTTCCCCTCGGGGGGAAAGTGCTGTTCATAGCGCGGCACGCTAACCACTGCGCCACTGCTCCACGCACACACGGTCACACGCGTGTCAGTGCGCTCTAGCGGAGCGGTTAACGATTCCCGCTCACGACCAATAACAGCGGTAAATACCCGAACCGGTCCTGGGCCTCGACGCGGCCTTAAGACGAACACACGGTGCGGTGTGTAAACATCAGCATTAGGAAGACAAAGGCGGCCAGGTGCGGTGTCGACCCCCTTCACGTGCCGTGCCGGCCTTCATAGGTGCTCGCTAACGGCACTTGCCCCAACATTCTGTTGAGGTTAAATGGGGGATCTTCATCACACGGGGGAGGTTACACGGGAGATCGTGCATGCAAATCACGCAGCTTCTGTTCGGCAGGACGCAGGGGGCTAAACGGGTGCGGCAGGGGTTGAAGAAGAGGTGGGTGAAGCAGGAGAAGAGGTGGGTAAGATGCGTCCCTTCCCTGCACCCCCCCATAACGTGCAGCCCGCACCGCCCTGGCCCCTAACTCTAATCACAACCCTCACGGCGAACCCCGAACTTCAACCGCAACTCCCAACAGCGAACCGCCGAACCCCTTGTAACCGCACCGAGCCCGACACCCGTCCACCGCCGCCGCGCGGGGTGGGAGGGCCGCGTGCCGCCGGGCACGCACCGAGAGGAGGAGCGGCGTCCGGCAGAGCGGAGGCACCCAGGGGGTGGCGAGCTCCATGCGGATCTGCTCGGCTATCGCCCTCTGCAGCAGAGCCATCTTCCCTGGCGGCACACAAAGACAAAAGCAAAGGTTTCCCCCCCCTCCCCCGCCGGGCCGATAGCCTTAACAGACTGTTGTGGCAAGTGCCGTCAGCGATTAGCAATCGGCGAGGGCCGGCACGGCACACGAAGGGGGTGGGTGGGCAGCACGACGGCCAGTGGCGATGTTTACACACCGCACCAGGTACTCATTTGAGGCTGAGTCGACCTAAGAGAGGCGGCTCACGACCAGTTCAGATGATTGTCACTGGAGTTGGTGGCCGCGAGCGGGAATGGAACTCGGGTCGCCGGGTTCGTAGAGTGGTGCGCGAACTGCTGTATTACTGCTCAACAAAGACAAATATCCCCCGTATAGCCTTAACAATGTTAGGGCAAGTGCTGTTAGCAAGCACCTATGAATGGCAGCATGGCACACGAGTGGGTGGGTGGTCAGCACCATGCCAGACCGTCTTTGTCTCTCCAGTGGTGATGTTTTTACACGTCACACCAGGTACTCATTTCAGGCTTAGTAGACCTAGGAGAGGCACAGGACCAGTTCAGATAATTGTCACTGGGTGTTGGCCGTGAGTGGGAATCGGATTCGGGTCGCCGGGTTTGTAGCGCAATGCGCCAATCTCTACGCCACCACTCCCCACACTACTGCTCGACACACACCCACGCACACACGCACCCACGCACGCACGCACGCACGCAAGCACGCACCCATGCACGCATGGGGGAAACCTCTCAGCTCCATGGCTCTATTTTTTGTGCCGCGTTGATGCACGACCTTGCCATGCGGAACTTCACCGTGTGGAGAGTTGTTGTTGAATTGCTCTGTTCATGGTTTATTATCTTTGTTGACACGGCAACCAGGTGTCGACGGTGTAACCAAGTCCTCATCGAAAATGAACATTTATTACCCGATGGGTTCTACCTGTGCCAACACTAAAAACCTAAACCTTAATGATAACCACGACACTTGCATTTGCATCGCGCTCATAACGTAACGAAGCGAGCTGGCGGAACGCGGTTTTCCTTCAGCCTCGGGCCCTCCCCCCACCCCCCGCCCCCCGCTGGCAGCAACGTCTCTGCGTGCGGCAAGAGTGCGCACGCAGCAAGCGGCCGCCTGCAAGCGCGCACTTGGGTGCCGGTCCGTGACGACGTTGAGAGCTGGGACGGTTCACGCCAATTTAGTCGATTGACCGACGGAATATTAAACATCGATCCAGTTCGCTTGCTCAGAATACATTTCTGCGAGATGCTGTGGGTTTGGAGAGTCAACAGTCCGATGGACTAAAATGTATTTTTACGTGGCCACACAGATATGGAGTTCTGCTTATATTTATATGCATTATGTTGAACTTCTTTCGCACCCTACGCAGCCAACCACGCTTATCGGAGGCTTATATATATATATATAGCCCAGGTAAGAGTTCAGGCTGCAGGGATCAAGGGGTCAGGCTCCAGGGGTCAAGGGTCGGGTACCGGCTGGCCGGTCGGCAGAGGTGGCGCTCTCCTTGGGCAGCTTCTCGAGGAGGAAGAGGAAGAGGCGACGGATCTCGGACTCGCTACTGTACAGGAACGTCTGGTAGCCGATCTCACCCGGGTAGCCCAGCTCCTGCAATAGCAGCAGCGGTGGCAACATCAGTAGCAGCAGTGGCAGTATCAGCAGGAGGCAGAGGTCGCAAACGGGGTTTGATTCCTTACCCGTACCCGGCCACACCAGGGTCGCAAACGGGTACCCGTACCCTACCCGATACCCGGCTACCCGTACCCGGCCGGGTACGGGTAGGGTACGGGTACGGGTACCCGATTGCGACGTCTGAGATGAGGCCATGTTGCAGGCGCGGGTGGGTTGATTCTAGGAACTTGAATTGTGAGAAGAGACAAGACGTTGGGAAATGAGTGACAAACGGTTACTCACCAGTGACTCACGGCCTACCCATACCCGGCCGCACCAGGGTCGCAAATGAGTACCCGTACCCGGCCGGGTACGGGTAGCAGGGTATCGGGTAGGGTACGGGTATCGGGTACCCGGTTGCGACCTCTGGCAGGAGGGGAGCAGTAGCAGCAGTAGTAGCAGCAGCAGTAGTAGAAGAGCTGTAGCAGTAGCAGCAACAGCAGCCGCATAAGTAGCAGCAACAGCAGCAGCACCACGAGTAGCAGCAGCAGTAGGAGAGGAGCAGCAGCAAAAGCAACAGCATCAGTATCAGCATTAGTGGCAGCAGCATCAGTACCAGCAGTATCAGCAGAAACAAGAGCAGCAACAGCAGTAAAAGCACTTGCCATGGGGGACGTGCGTCTCCGTGTGTGCTTGTGTTTGTGTGTCGTGTGTGAGAATGTGATACGTTTCGATTTAAAGCTTTCGTGACTGCAGGGATTCATCTTCTTGGTTCTTTCGGTAAAGTCACGTAGAATGGATATAATAAAATAATAAAAATAAAACATAATGAAATAATTCTCACGACGTTTCGGCCACAACACAAGTAGCCGTCCTCAGGTGGAGAACAGGTCTGTACAGACAGAGTCTGAATGACAAGCCCCAGGCTAGTCGCTCCAAGCCTGGGGCTTGTCATTCAGACTCTGTCTCATTGACAGACCTGTTCTCCACCTGAGGACGGCTACTTGCGTTGTGGCCGAAACGTCGTGAGAATAATTTATTATGTTTTATTTTTATTTTATTATTTCCATTCTACGTGACTTTACCGAAAGAACCAAGAAAATGTGATACGTGCTAATACGCATCAGTGCGAGCGTGCGCGTGGGTCACAGCGGTTAGCGCACTGCGCTACGAACCCGGCGAGAGCCGAGTTCTGATTTCCGCTCACGGCCAACACCAGCGGCGAATTATCTGAATTGGTTATGGGCCTCCGCTAGGTCGACTCAGCCTCAAACGAGTATCTGGTGGGGTGTGTAAACATCACCACTGGGGAGACAAAGGCGGCCGGGCGTAGTGTTGGCCACCCACCCCCCTCGTGCGCCGTGCCGGCCTTCATAAGTGCTACTCGCTAACAGCACTCGCCCCAACAGTCTGTTGAGGCTATAACGGAATAAATCTTTCGTCTCTCTGTTGTGGGGGTCACACAGCCACCCGCACCTGGCAGGCCTGCGCCAGGCTCATCCCCAGCCGGAATCTCGCCGACATTCCCGGTGGGAGCACGTGGCTGAGACCGCCGCCGGCCGCCGGGTTGATGACGCGCAGGCAGAGGACGGCGCCCTCCACGATCAACTCCGTCGTGAACTCCTTGAGCCCCGTCACCTCCTCCGGCACCTCCCTGCAGATGCGTGCGCACGCACACACACGCGCAAATGGGTACCCCCCATCATAGCCTTTAAAGAGACTGTCTAAGGCAAGTGATCTTGCGGTGGCTAGGAGATGTTAACTGCCTCGCCTGGTATACGGGAGGTCGTGGGTTCGAGTCCGACCCCAACGCCTGCTGAATAGTTGAAGTGTGCGTCTCTCTCTCTCCGTGGTCGTGTGGATTTTTCTCCAGGTCCTCCGGTTTTTCCCTCCACATTTATAAACATATACGTTTAGAGTATTCGGCTGCTATAAATTTCCATGTGATAAGCCACTTCGTTGGGCTATCATTTGTGGCCAGGTCACTTCTGACAAAAGAGCTACATAGATCAGTGGGCTTTAACTTGCCTCCGCAGTGCTGACATTTACACTCCGCACTGGGTACTCATTGAAGGCTGAGTTCACCTAGGGGAGAGCCAGGCCTGGCTCAAATGTTTCGCCACAGTTATTGCTCATAGCGCATCGCGCTGACCACTGCGTTACCTCTCCTGCACTCACAAAAACAGTGACGCCTGCACGGTGACGCAGCCCTATGGTTGTGAGTTGGCCGCTTCGTTGCAGTGCTTCACGGTCCGAAAACCTGCGCCCTCCCCCGATGAAAGCGGATGGTCAAGATCCAGTGGCGTAATTGGCAAGCGTGGGCTACTGTGTGCCAGCGTCGTGGTCCAAATTTGCCAAAAATTCGAAAAAGACTGGCAAACCACTCAATTGTGATTACACACAGTGCTCATTGTCCCCTACAAGACATCTGTGAAAATATAGCTTTATCGCTCATCGGATTCCTCCAGGAAATTAAAATTCTGATTCTGATAATGCCCCAGGTCACTCTTTAAAATGAGACTCATCCCGACCTCTTTCGAGTCTCTTACCTGATTAAGCAAAAAATAAAATAACGCACAAAAACAAAGTTCCCACCGTGAAGCCTTGAACTTAAGGTGGTGACATTGTGTGTATGTGTGAACGAGAAGCGGTAATGTAACAGTTGACACATTGCGCTCCGAACCTGACAACACAAGTTTAATAGCCCACTGATGGCCTACATTGACGAATCTCATAACTAGGTCTGGTCAGCCCCTAACCCGACTCAGCCATGAAATGAGTCGCTGGCGAAGTGTGCGTAAACATTGGCACTGGGGAGACAAAGTCAGCCGGGCGTGGTGCTAGCCGCACCACCCTCTTGTGGCCCGTGCCGGCTAACAGCACTTGCCCCAACAGTCCTTCGCTCATGACATAAAGCTACGCATCTGAGAGTTGGTGATTAATGATCGTAGAAATATACACGCTGATGTAGCTCAAGCATAGTAGAACAAACGAGATGGGCATAATGCAGAACAGCTGAGACGAACATTACAAATGAGACGAGAGAAAACTTTTTCTTGAACTGACCGTTGAGTGGTCACAAAAAATAGTCCCACTGTTGTCACAGTGTGGTCACGTAAAGAGTGTGGTCACAGTGTGGTCTCAGTGAGAATATGGTCACAGTGAGAGTGTGTTCATTTTGAGGGTGTGGTCAGTGAGAGTGTGGTCACAGTGACAGTGCGGTCATGTAAAAAGTGTGGTCACAGTGTGGTTACAGTGAGAGTGTGGTCATTTTGAGGGTGTGGTCAGTGAGAGTGTGGTCACAGTGACAGTGCAGTCATGTAAAAAGTGTGGTCACAGTGCGGTTACAGTGAGAGTGTGTTCATTTTGAGGGTGTGGTCAGTGAGAGTGTGGTCACAGTGACAGTGCGGTCATGTAAAAAGTGTGGTCACGGTGTGGTTACAGTGAGGGAGTGGTGAGTGAGAGTGTGGTCACAGTGACAGTGCGGTCATGTAAAAAGTGTGGTCACAGTGCGGTTACAGTGAGAGTGTGGTCATTGTATGTGGTTCAGGAAGAGTGTGGTCAGTGGGCCCAGTTACTCACAGGCCGCACTGCCGGAGGGAATGAAGAATGATGCTGTCCACCTCCTCCATGATGGCACCCTGACCTCCTCAGCCACCGTCTCTCCTCCTCACCAACCTCACGTCTTCAACCTACCGACTCTGCGTTCGAAGATCACAAGGCTCCACACATGTTAATTGCCACCATGACTTACACAGAGGGTGGCTTTAAAAAAAAAAGGCACGTGCCTGGCTGTAATATGTCACGTTTTTACGAGAAGGGGACTTTGAGACAGATTTAAGTAATACCAGACGAGAGCACAGTGAGGGCAGAAGACTCGTATCCACCAGACACCTGGGTCAAATTCCCTGCAGAGCCAGGTCAGCTTAAACACGAACAGGTTGCAGGGTTTACACCATTGAAAAAGCAGACCAGTCTACAAAAAAATTATAAAAGTACGTAAAAATGCACCGTAATTCCATCGCTGGATGATAGCCTCCCCCATGTCATTGCAGATCATGGGGCTATTAAACATACTATTAGACCTCCTTTACCAGTGGAAAAATATAGTAATAGGTTTTACCCTTTCAACTGGTACAAAAACTGACACCTTTATACAAGGCATTTACTATATTTAGCCACTGGTAAAGGAGGTCTCATAGTGTAAATGCTTACCCCGAGCTCTCAATACTCTGATAGTGCGCTGTCTTTGAGTTGTACGCCTTTTGGCGTCATCTGGTCCAACACCAATGGAGACTAGACTCTAAGAAAATCTGCCTCGGGTGTGGACCAATCAACTTCAAGGACAGTTCATATCATTATCATCATCAGAGTTGTTTCTTTTTGTTTGCATTTTGACTGCTTGTGCTGTGGTTATTGCAAACATGATGCCTTGTATAAAGGTGTCAGTTTTTGTACCAGTTGAAAGGGTGAAACCTATTGCTATTGAACATACTTCATCACACTGGCTCGCAAAGGTGGGGAGCTTTGACGTTGTATCGAGCAGTGTTCTTCATTGCAAGACCCGCGGGCCACTGGCGGCCACTGGTTACCTTTACTGCAGGCCCTGACGTGTGGCCCTCGACAATTCCCGAATAGTGAAAACACCCCGACCCATCATCATCGTGATGCTGTTAAACCCCACAAATGATTTCAAATGTGTGGCGGCCCTCACACTGGTGATGTCTTATCAGCGAAAGTGGCCCCGCTGAAAATTAGTGAGGAACACTGGTATGTACAGGGTGCTTATAAAAATGCTAACACTTCTGAGAATTTGCAACAAAACCACAAGAAATGTGCCTCCGGGCTCTGGAGACCACCTGGAGAAGATTCCAGGCCATGTGTTGACAATGATGGCGAACAAGTGGAGACTCTTGGACTTTTTGAAGCTATTAACATTGCATTTGTTATCATGTTACAGTGTATTATCCGTTATTTTTCCATTAAAAACGATAGTCCCATATAAGTGTTAACATTTTTTTAAGCACTCTGCTGTACTCTAGAGTAATAATACATTTTCTGCACTGCCCTTCATTAGAAATACAGCCTCGTAGCAAAAATATATTTTTTGTTTAAAACAAGTGAATGTAAGTGTAAAGAAAATTAAGTCAACTTAAGGCAAAACGAATCTACTAAATTAACAGAATAAATTACAAATATGATGTCTGCTGGCCGTGTCCTCCTTCAAAAGGAGCTTCTTAGCTCAACTGGTTCTACTCGGGAAATATTCATCTGAAACAAACTTCTGAATACCGTTCATATTAACAAATGGGTGGCGTACTGCACTAGGAACCCTGTCCCGAGTTCAATTCCTGGCCCATGGCTAACAACAGTGGCGAGTATTTGTACAGTGTCTCCAATAAGCAGAACAATCAATGGCGACACAAAGTCAACAGAAGCTGTCAATCAAAGTTCACGGATTGACAACCAACGATTTCCGCATTACTTTGCGTTCGAAAAAAGAAAATTTGCAACCAGCCACAGGACAGATGACCTCGCTGTTGCATTAGTTCCTCATTGAAGCGTTCGTTGCACGTCCGGTTAACAGCGTTAAGAAATAAAAACAAAACGCGAGTTGACATGTACCCAGAGCTCAACGTATGCACATCGCAATACATACGTCAACCGTGCATGTCAAATGTGGTTTTCAACCGTGTCCCACGGATGGACTATGGCACCGCTTTAGCAATGTGTAGTTTTCACCGCTGAATCTGGCAGAGCCGTAAACCGTGAAGATCAGAACCAATGCCATCAATGCTCAATGAGAGCAGGAAGTCACCGTGATTTTTTTTTAACAAATCATTTCCTCTTCATAGGAAAGCCTCGCTAAATCTAAAGACTATTTTTTTTCAGGAGGAGCATGCATTGACAAAGTGACCCATTCCACAACTCGTGAACACCGAATATTACCACCAATGGGCCTGATTCACATTGATTCATCGCATCGGAGGGGGGAGGAGTGTTTTCTATATTGGGACGTTTCGCCAATCCATTATTCATGGCTTGGAGTGTCAGAGGAATCCTGAGAAAACCCACCAGGCTTACGAAACTATTGTTGTTCATGTTACCAGATAAGGCCCGCTGAGCTGTATAGCTCTTTTTCAGAAGCAACCTGGTCACAAATGATTGCTCAACGACGTGGCTTATCACGTGAATATTTATAGCAACCAAATACTCGAAACGCCCAATTCTAAACGTGGAGGGAAAAACCGGAGGACCCGGAGAAAATCCACGCGACCACGGGGAGAGAGAGAGACACGCACATTCCAAATATACAGCAGTGGTCAGGGTCGGGATCGAACCCACGGCCTCCTGCATACCAGGCGAGGTAGTCAACATCTCCTAGCCACCATGGTTACCCCATGCGAGAGGGGTTACATTCAAAGCTCCGCACAGATTAATACAAGAATCAAGTTGCTGTGCTACTTGATTTATGGTCCACGCCTTCACCAGCGTATAAATGTCTTCATCCAGCAGTGGATCGACAAGAGGGATATTGCACGTACGTGCGCATGTCTTTCACTGTAAAATTTCTGGAGTTAAATTCAGCTCATCATCGCCCAGGGGCCGATAAATCGGTTACCACCACCCACCACTGCCACTGCAGTAGTCCCTTGCCCCGTAACACACACACACACGGAATTACCACCACCCGGCCCATTTAACGACTCGACAAAGTCGACGGGAAACACATCACGGCTCAACTCCTCGCCAGTGCTGTTACTGCTTTACTTTACCCGACTTCTCGGAGCCCGAGACTTGGGGGCTACCGAGCTCGGGTCATCCCGCCGAGCACCGGCGCAGCGACTCGGGCTACGATTCAGGCAAGGAGGGCGCCTGGGGTGCGGCCTACCCGATGTTTCCGCTCCTGGAGGCGCGACAGGCGACGGCGTGTCGCTCCCCGGCGGTGGCGGGTTCCCGGCAGGTCCAACCGGGGGTGGCCCGGGTCCCCCCGAGACCCCCGAGACCCCCGAGTTCCTAAAGCCCCCCAAGTCCCGTTCCCTCAAGTCCCCGGTGGAGGATTTCCGCGGGATTCGATGACAGACCGCAGGCGGATTTGCATTTCCCAGCGCGCTTAAGGCTCGAGCTCAAATCCAACCAATCGGATGGCGAGCCGCGCGCGAGACGCGGAGGCGGTGGCCAATGAGAGTGCGAGATTGATGTCTCGGCGCCGTTGTGCGCTGGGAATTGTAACGGCCGCCAGGCGCTCGATCAGCTGACCGCTGACCTCGTGACCAATGGGCGAGGGTCGAATTCTTGGGTTTCAAAACGTTACCTTGAGTTTCTTGGGTTTCTGCACCCACATTGTATAGACAATAGACGACGTTTCGGGCAATAGCCCTTCTTCGTTAGCACATGTGCTTATGAAGAAGGGACATGTATGTGCTACGAAGGGCCATTTATGTCATATGAACGAGGGTCTTTGCTCGAAACGTCGCATATTAATCTTCTTGGTTCTTTCGGCGTTGTGGCCGAAACGTCGTGAGAATTATTTTATTCTGTTATATTTTTATTATTTTATTATTTCCCTTCTAACGTGACTTTACCGAAAGAACCAAGAAGATGAATCCCTGTAGTCACGACAGCTTTAAATCGAAAGTCGCCTATGAATGTTTCCTTTAAAGGCCACACACAGTGATGCACAGCTGTAAGCCCACGTGGTTTACTCGTTTCAATGCGGGCAAAAGCTTTGTGTTCGTTTATTTGTGTTTCTGCCTTGTGATGGGACATTGGAGGATGGACGTTGAGAATTATAAGGGCTCTGGGTGACCAATAAGGTCTGAGTTGGTCTGTAATAAGGTGGGGCACTGATAGGGGTTCACAGGTGTATAGTGTAGTATATAGTAGTGTATAGTGTAGTATATAGTAGTGTAGTGTATAGTAGTGTATAGTGTATATAGTAGTGTATAGTGTAGTATATAGTAGTGTAGTGTATAGTAGTGTATAGTGTAGTATATAGTAGTGTAGTGGATAGCAGAGGTGGGACAAAGTCATTGTTATGCAAGTCCAAGTCGAGTCTGAAGTCATCAAATTCATGACTCGAGTCTGACTCGAGTCCAAGTCACATGACTCGAGTCCACACCTCTGGTGGATAGTAGTGTATAGTGTAGTATATAGTAGTGTAGTGTATAGTGTAGTGTATAGTAGTGTAGTGTATAGTGTAGTATATAGTAGTGTAGTGTATAGTGTAGTATATAGTAGTGTAGTGTATAGTGTAGTATATAGTAGTGTAGTGTATAGTGTAGTATATAGTAGTGTAGTGTATAGTGTAGTATATAGTAGTGTAGTGTATAGTGTAGTATATAGTAGTGTAGTGTAGTATATAGTAGTGTAGTGTAGTATATAGTAGTGTAGTGTATAGTGTAGTATATTGCAGTGTGGTGGTTAGTAGTGTAGTCGCATACCTGTCAACCCATACGTTGTACCCTGTATTCTGGTACAGGGAAATTGCGTTTTCAGGTCCATACGGCGTATAGCCGTTTCAATTCGGGCAAAACAATTGTGTGTATGTGTTTGTGTCTCTCCCTTGCGATGGGGCTTTGTAGGATTAACTTTGAGATTCATAAGGGTACTTACTGGGTTAGGGGCCGTCCAAAAATGACGTCACGCGATTTTGGACGATTTTGGAACCCCCCCCCCCCTTCGTCACACGGCGTCACAAAAAGTCAGACCCCCCCTCAAATATGACGTCACAAAGCTCTGCCCCCCCCCCCCAAAAAAAATAAAACATGCTTCAAATCGCTTTAAACTATTATCATTGTAGTGCGTTTTTAACGTGGCGCTGCACTGTGATGTTGTAGGAGAAACCATTTATTAAAAAGTAAATTTAAGTAGAACGTGTTGTCTATATTTATTTAAAGTTGCGCATTTTGATGTGACGTCACATTTCTCACCCCCCCCCCCTCCTCACACATCGTCACAAATGTCTTACCCCCCCCCCCCCAGGTGCGTGACGTCATTTATGGACGTCCCCTTACCAGTGAGGTCTGAATTGGTCTGTAATACTGGTAGAAACCTCCTGGTTCTACCAGCCCACAGGGGATTATTGTGTCCGTCGGCTCCGTCCGTCGTGCATCCAAAAATGGGAGGGGTGGGGCTGGGTGGAGAGGGGAGGGTGGGGAGGGGCTGGGTGGGGAGGGTGGGGAGGGGCTGGGTGGGGAGGGGAGGGTGGGGAGGGGCTGGGTTGGGAGGGTGGGGCTGAGTGGGGAGGGTGGGGAGGGGCTGGGTGGGGAGGGAGGGGTGGGAGGGGAGGGAGGGGCTGGGTGGGGTGGGGAGGGGCTGGGTGGGGAGAGGAGGGTGGGGCTGGGTGGGGAGGGGAGGGTGGGGAGGGGCTGGGTGGGGAGGGTGGGGGTGGGAGGGGTGGGGCTGGGTGGGGAGGGGCTGGTCACCCCGTGGTGCCCTTATAAAACTCAACGTTTAACCTACTCACGCCGGCTTGTGCCCGCCCTCACAGTCGGCCATATTTGCGGAATACACCACGCCGCCGTTGATCCTGGCCATTGACCGAGCAACCGAACATTATACACCAGTGAAGACTAGGCTCTAAGAAAAGCTGTCTCGGGTGTGGACCAATCAATTTAAAGGGCAGTGCATATCATTATCAGAGTTGTTTCTTTTTGTTTTCATTTTGACTGCTTGTGTTGTGGTTATTGCAAACATGATCCCTTGTATAAAGGTGTCAGTTTTGGTGCCAGATAAAGGGGTAAAAACCTATTGCTATATCTTGCTAATGGCAAAGGAGGTCTCATAATATGCAGAGGTTATGCAGTGCCTCGGCACTCTTCAAACCCTCCAGACACAAACCTTCCTATGCCTATAGTTGTGCCAAATCTCATCCTTCTAGCCCTTCTAGAACGCCATTCAAATCTGACACTCATTCACGCCAGTCTATAGCCGGTATCTGAACTGGTCTTGGGGGAACCAACCTCCTTCAGAAACCCACAGTAGACCAGAGTGTACACTATGGGGACCTCATTTGCCAGTAAAAATATGATAATTGGTTCTTTACCCTTCTATCTGGCAACAAAACTGACACCTTTTTGCAAGGAGTCATGTTTGCATAGACCGCAATACCTGCAGTCATAAATACAAACAAAAGACATAACTCTGATAATGTGCACTGTCCTTGAAGTTGATTGGTCCACACCCGAGACAGCTTTCCTTCGAGCCTAGTCTCATATGGGTTGGACCAGATGACGCCAAAAGGCGCACAACTCAAGGACAATGCACCATCAGAGTATGAGAGCTCGGGGCAAGCATCTACACTATGGGGACCTCATTTGCCAGTAAAAATATGATAATTGGTTCTTTACCCTTCTATCTGGCAACAAAACTGACACCTTTTTGCAAGGAGTCATGTTTGCATAGACCGCAATACCTGCAGTCATAAATACAAACAAAAGACATAACTCTGATAATGTGCACTGTCCTTGAAGTTGATTGGTCCACACCCGAGACAGCTTTCCTTCGAGCCTAGTCTCATATGGGTTGGACCAGATGACGCCAAAAGGCGCACAACTCAAGGACAATGCACCATCAGAGTATGAGAGCTTGGGGCAAGCATCTACACTATGGGGACCTCATTTGCCAGTAAAAATATGATAATTGGTTCTTTACCCTTCTATCTGGCAACAAAACTGACACCTTTTTGCAAGGAGTCATGTGTGCATAGACCGCAATACCTGCAGTCATAAATACAAACAAAAGACATAACTCTGATAATGTGCACTGTCCTTGAAGTTGATTGGTCCACACCCGAGACAGCTTTCCTTCGAGCCTAGTCTCATATGGGTTGGACCAGATGACGCCAAAAGGCGCACAACTCAAGGACAATGCACCATCAGAGTATGAGAGCTCGGGGCAAGCATCTACACTATGCATCTACACTATGTGTAGATGCTTGCCCCGAGCTCTCATACTCTGATGGTGCATTGTCCTTGAGTTGTGCGCCTTTTGGCGTCATCTGGTCCAACCCATATGAGACTAGGCTCGAAGGAAAGCTGTCTCGGGTGTGGACCAATCAAATTCAAGGACAGTGCACATTATCAGAGTTATGTCTTTTGTTTGTATTTATGACTGCAGGTATTGCGGTCTATGCAAACATGACTCCTTGCAAAAAGGTGTCAGTTTTGTTGCCAGATAGAAGGGTAAAGAACCAATTATTAGACCAGAGTGGTAAAGAATGGTCCCGCAACCCCCCACGACCTAACCGACACGGCGTGGGTAGCAGAGGTCGCAACCGGGTACCCGATACCCGTACCTTACCCGATACCCGGCTACCCGTGCCCGGCCGGGTACGGGTAGCCGCTTGCGACCCTGGTGTGGCCGGGTATGGGTATGTAGTGGTGGTATTGACGTGCGCCGGCAGTGATGGATCACGGGGCGCGGGGTTGGGCACGCGGTGTGGGCGTGGCATGGAAGCGCGCGCCGGTGGTGAGGCGCGCTCACACAAGCTGGGAAAAGAGGATCGTAGCGAGTGCGCAGTGATTGGTCAGATAAGTGGGTACTCTCAGCGACGTCCGCAGGAGGGGTATAAAGGGGGACGCGCGAGAGCACTCGTGGTCAGTGTTAACCAGTTGAAGACCGAAGACGGGGTGGAGGAGGTAGGGGCCCTGTGTGGCTCGGAGCCGAGACTGGGGGGACCGTAGTCCGACGCCCGTGTGGGTCGGGACGGTGGTACCCAGAGCCGAGACGGGCACCCCGGCTGGGTGTGTCCCGGAAGGCTACGGGGCGTAAGAGCCCGTGTCAGTACAGCTGAGTGGGTGTTGGTCACCCGTGTAGCTGAGTGGGTGTTAGTCACCCGTGTAGCTGAGTGGGTGTTAGTCACCCGTGTAGCTGAGTGGGTGTTGGTCACCCGTGTAGCTGAGTGGGTGTTAGTCACCCGTGTAGCTGAGTGGGTGTTGGTCACCCGTGTAGCTGAGTGGGTGTTGGTCACCCGTGTAGCTAAGTGGGTGTTGGTCACCCGTGTAACGAAGTGTAGCTGAGTGGGTGTCCGTCACCCGTGTAGCTAAGTGGGTGTTGGTCACCCGTGTAACGAAGTAGGGTGTTAGTCATCCGTGTAACTACAAGTTGGT